GAGGCGACTTTTAGGCTCTCTCTCACACACACAAGGACACACGCACACACACACACACACACACACACACACATGTGATGTATAGTCCCACGCTGTAGTGTTACATTCATTTGCTTTATTTTATTTATTTATTTATTTATTTATTTATTTATTTATTTATTTATTTATTTATTTATTTAATCAAGCTACCGATGGGGTAGTGTTAGGCTAGTCGTGGGGTAGGATACTTACCCATTGTTCTTTCTCCTCGTTGTTGTCGTCGTTGCCCGCAGAGATCGATGCTCTCTGCTCCTTAACGTATCATAAAACGACCCGTCATGAGAGGCCGACTGCGCCACCGCTCCTTGATGCCACTCAGATGGCAAGGATGCGCAGAGCCTCCTACCCAAGTCACGACTCCTTCCAAACGAAATGCGCCGAGGCGACTGTAGACATGAAGACAATACTACATTATCATTGCCTCAATCGCCCTCCCTGAGACTTACTGGACAAGGGCACCGAAACTGATTGTAGGCGATTGGTAAGTCGCCTCTATCCCTCCTTCCTCTCTTATACTTTCTCTTCTTCCTCCTGGTTTGCGCTATGTTGCCTTTCCCCACCGCGCACCACTTACCTTCCTCCACTACTCTTTTTCCCCTTTCCATACGTGGTGTTCCTATTCTTCACGACGAAGTTCTTCTCTCATGCACCGCGCGGACTTTCCCGTCATTGTTCGTGATGGTCTTCCCTGAAGTCCCGCTCTCCTTTTCTATCTGGTTGTCATCTCTCTTCTTCCAACCGTGCGTCCTCCTTCTACTTCCGTTCGTTTCTCCTCCTGCTACCACCGCGCTACCTCTCCGCTTCTTTCCCGCGCACATATCTCTACCATACCCCGCTACTACTTCTTCTTTTTCTTCCCTTCTCTCCTCCCTCTTCTTCTTTCTTCTTCTCCCCTCCTTCTTCTTCATGCACCTCGCGCGGCTATCTCCCCTGCTCCCCGCGTGCTAGCTTTCTGCCTGCGTGCACTCCTCTCGTCACATTCGTTCGTCGAGCACTCAGCCCGAACCCGCAGGCCAGAGTCTCGGGTTGCTATGTCTGGGATCGAACAGATTTCGTCGAAACGAATCTGTTCGGCTTTCCTATGTAGATTCACTAAAGTCAATAGTGAATCTTTGGTAACTTGTAGTAGCTACGAGATTAGTAAGAAAACAAAGAAATAAGAAATAATAAAAAAAATAAAATTAAATTAAAGAAAACGAATCCAACTAACAACGAAAATCAAATGAATAAATAATAAATCTAACAGCTAACTCCCCATTCACGCCAAGTGTCGGGCCTCTGCCCCAGTCGGTTCTCACTACCCAACTAACTCTACTAACTCTTTCCACGGAGGTCGCGGGTTCAAGCCCCGACCGTCCGAACGCRGGGTTAAAGCTCAGCTCCCTGCAAAAAGGAGYTAGCTCAGCGGTGAACTGGATTCGATCCCTAAGTCTGTCACTCAATAATCTACACCCGAACCTACTGGGCTAGCTCCTACTTYGAGTASAAGAGGAGCGGTCCAGGTATAAGTRTAGGAGCGGGGCTTGGTCCGCYTAGTGATCCGAGCCCAATCCTAAGTTTGTGTGCMCGCAYGCTTGCCGGTTTGAGTGTAYGTGTGACMTGCCTGGGTACTCAATCGATCGGAMGGCCCGAAGGGCCGGTACTCAGCCGTGGCYGAGACATYGAGGGTCGCAGCGGGAAAGTTACAAGGTAGCGGGGTAAACCCGCACACTWAGAACAASGGGAMAACACTCAAGTAGCCCGTACCACACCGAGTAGACCTKCCGGGTAYTCGAGGCYGATCWGAAGAAGACGAAGTAGGCATTTCCAGAGGCCCAGTACCATCAGGTAGGCGGACACCGGTTTCCAGTAGTACGAGCCTAGGCCCTGTGCGGATGATATCAGAGCGTGCAACGGTATCTCTCTATGCAAAGAGACAAAGNGGTAGGCGGACACCGGTTTCCAGTAGTACGAGCCTAGGCCCTGTGCGGATGATATCAGAGCGTGCAACGGTATCTCTCTATGCAAAGAGACAAAGGTTCCGGTCACTCGGGTAGTCATGCGGTCAGGAAGTCACCGCCCAAGGGCGACTCCCTTTCTACCTACGGGAGGCTGAGCTAGAGCCTCAACCTCGCTTACAGTGCACTAGTAGGGATAAAAGGTACCGCTCAAGCAAACGTCAACAATCGAGGTGCTACCTCAACCTCGATGATCATACACTAATAATTGCTCCGGTCGTACGACCGGGGCGCGTATTAATTTATTCTGACCGATGTACTAACGATTAAGTCTCAACGTGCATCGTAGATCTACTCGTCATAATATCAACCCTATCGACCCCTCAACCTCTTTGGTCGAAGGCTATTAAAGCAAATCCTAACCTTCACAGCGTGCGTCATAACAACGCGCGCCCATACTTAACGAAATTTTCTCACCGATTTTGCCCCGGCCTGAATGGCCGAGGAATCCGTTTCGAGTGTCACGCTCAAGCGTGCACACCCTTTCTATTCCAGACTGGCTCCATCATGGTTGCCGACGCCGTCACCGTGTCGAATGCAAAGACATGGCAAAATACCCTTGTAAGGGTGTTTTGTCCGACAACGTACACACTGCACACACTGTCACTGTGACAAACACAAGGATATTGTGACAGTCACGTAGATACTAAGAGCACACCTACATGTACTGAGATAATGACGGTGACACTGTGATGCACGTAGACAAGTGGAGCAGATACAGTAAAACACAATGACATACACAGTGACACCGGCTGTGACATACGCGGTGTGACACAGACTGTGGTATGCACAGTAAAATATAGGTTGAGGTATACACAGTGTGACAGAGGCTGTAGCATACACAACAATATACAAACTGTGACGCACCCAGTGTGACACGAACCGTGGAAATACACAGTGAGATAAAGACTGTAACATACACAGTAACGTATATAGAGAAGGTACAAATTCAGGTACACAGTCGCACACGGAGTACACGGTGAAGTGACAGTCACTCAGTGATACATGCACCATGACACATACACAGTAATAGCCACACAGTCACGCTGTCACACGGTGACACACGCAGTCTCGGTGACACACACAGTAACTAGCACCGTGACACACGCAGCAGTTTGCGACATATACAGTGAGACACATACACGGTGACACTCAGAGGGGGACATATACACAGAGAGAGGAAGAGAGGGATAAAAAAAAAAAAAAAAAAAAAAAAAAAAAAAAAAAAAGGAGGAGTTATGATAAGGAGAGAACATCAACAAAAGGGACATCTTTTTTCCCCAACAGAAAAAATGTGGCAACTTTTTTGCCACGTTGAACCTATGTTGACACCACATTTCAACTCTTTATAAACCGTTGGCGGGGGGGGGGGCATGTGTTCAACACAAACTGAAGGAAACCAACACTGACCGTGTATTGGGGACACTGAAACTTGTGTGTTCAAATGTTGGATCAACTGCTGACAGACAGTTGGTCCAACTGTTGATCCATTGTTGGTAGCTTGTTGAAATCTTGTTGAAGAGTTGTTGAAATGTTGTTGAAACCTTGTTGAAATGTGTTGAAACGTGTTGAAAGTGTGTTGGAATGTGTTGAAATGTGTTGGACCGTGTTGAACTAGGGTATTGGACCGTGCGCAATAGCAGTTTCGGTTACGGGTCATTTGCGTTGTCCGGGGGTGGGTTGTAGCTGTGTTTTCCTCGTTTAAGGACTGAGCACGTTTTGGAGTACGAAGATCACATGGGCGAGCGTTGGGTTTGCGCGCGCCGACCGGACACGTGATGATTGCAGTGACTGATGGAATTGAGGGATCAGAGACTGATGATGAGAGAGAGAGAGAGAGAGAGAGAGAGAGAGAGAGAGAGAGAGAAAGAGAGAGACATGTTTACGGCTGCCGACGAACATATTTCGGGCCTCGTACAAACAAGGTTGACTTTCGGTGTCCGACGAACACATTTCGATTAAATGTTGGGCTGCCCTCGTACAAACAAGGTTGACTACTGCGGACCGAAAATTGTCCAACACGGCGGTGTCCGACACAATTTGGCATGCAGTAGCCAACCTTCCTTTTCTGTGCCCCTAAGATTGCTGTGCGTGGGGAACCGAAGTCCACGTCACCCTGCCCTGCAACAAACACTTTTCACCACAGGTTGACAAAATTTTTGGACTTATTCTCTCACGTGTACGGAGCAGACGTGGGAGACCGTCGATTAAATGTTGGGCTGCCCTCGTACAAAAAAGGTTGACTACTGCGGACCGCAAATTGTCCAACACGGCAGGGTCCGTCACATTTTGGCATGCAGTAGCCAACCTTCCTTTTTTGTGCCCCTAAGATTATTGTGTCCCATTCTATATAAGGCGATTTGGCGTGGGGAGCCTCAGTCCACGTCACCCTGCCCTGCAATAAACAAGTTTCACCACAGCTTGACAAAACACATTGTCGTATCATGTTACCATTACAGAGTCTTCCGCACACACCACTCAATCGCACAAAGATGAGCATTACAAATGTTTGTACAATTGTGTATCAATAATAACAGAAGTTGTGTAGTTATCAGACTGTATGGAGCATACGGCTCGCAATCCTCAGGCGGTGCACGTGCGTGCAAGCACTCTCTCTCTCTCTCTCTCTCTCTCTCT